GAAGTTTGCATATGTTATTGCTCCAAGTGAGACATTAATACCATTCATCTTTTAACTTTATTTTTAATAGTACTCGTAAGCACTTCTAATTCTAAGGGAGGGAAAAAAAAAACAAGAATTGCAAATGGTGAGGAGTAGAATTAAAGCTAGGGTCAGGAATGCTGTATGAGTAACTCTGAGAGATGCACAGAAGTTACATTAAGGCAAATTAGGGAGATAGAGATCTAAGAATACATAAACTTTAAGAACTAATTATTTTGGGGCAAAGAGTGGTCACACCGTGGTGATGCGATGCTCTGGGAGGACGACGTGGGAAGGTCCCAGGTTTGTGTCTGGAGGTCTCCCTATACACACTTGGCATGCACATATGTTCCCATAATCCATGGTTGCTGTGGCTGAGGTAGATTTTGGTATGAAAGCCCTTTTTTGATATCCCTCTATCTCTTTATCTCTCTCTGTTTCTCTCTCTTATGGCAGAAATAAAATAAAACAAGTTATTTTCATCATAAAACAATGACAGTATCTCACCCAAAACATAAACTACACAACTAGCTTTACTTCTTTTTTTCTCTCTTTTCTTTTGCTATAGGATGTGTGTGCTTGTCAGAGACAGAGAAGGAAAATGAGAAATCACCTCCTTAGGGGATGGCTTGGCTGCAATTCCTTCTCTCCAAGCCTCCTCTTGGGGTTTTGGGCATTCGTGTACATGTGTCAGCATGATTTTCAAGCCACTGGACCCAGGGCTTGAACCATGGTCAGCTATGTGGGTGTCCAGCACCTTGACCACCATGTCACCTGCTGGCCCCAATTTAGAAAATTTTTTGAATAAAGAATGGATATTTGCTCTGTAAAATAAAATAGTTTATAATTTATTGACCATATAATAATAGTAACTTTCTTGTTATTTTCATTTTGCTTATATTCATTCTAATTATTTTAAGTAAATAGTGACCTGTGGATTATGAAAGTGAGAGCACTCTTGAGGTGCTATTTTTTCACTCTTGAGTGTTACCTCCCTTTGACAGGTAAATGAGGTGACAAGTTAGAAGCAGAACTGGCACCACCAGTGACAGAGACCTGGGGGAGAGAAGGTCAAAGGGCAGGGTTTCTACAAATATTGGGAGGCTATTAGCCATTAAGTAGGGTCTCTGAACAAGAATTAAACCAGAAGCCAAGAGCTAACTGTAACCTAATAGGACTTTCAGCACTAGTGGAAGTTGCCTGAATTCTCTAATTGTCTGTGAGACTCTTTAAGAACAACTCAAGTAAATTAGACCCAGAAGAAAACTGCTTAAGGAAACATGGGAGAGCATTTTCTAGGGCAATTTCGTCAGAGTTTAGAGCACCAACAATACAGTCTCTTCTTTATCACAGTAACTTCTTAAGTTCTCTAGAGACACTGTCTTCACAGACATCGATGCTCATTAACTGACTTTGCAAGGCTTACTTGCCATTTTGACCAAATGTGCCTCAGGAGTTGAGCCTTCCAGTTCCCTGAATGGCTTAGTCCAAGATTATCAGTAGCTGGTAAATTCCTTTATAATCAGTGAAGGTTTTTAAAGTACATGGATGAAACATCACATGAGATTCTTCCTATAAAAGTGGCTTCTAGAAAAACAAACAAAATCTTTACTTTTGAGTAGTATTTGTTCTGTATAAGTCTTCTGCCATTCCTTTACATTGCCCCCAAACACTCTCTCTTTCCTAAGCAATTGTTTTCTAGAGAATCTCCATGCTTGGATACTTAACTTTCTAGACAGTTACCTTTTTATTTTTGGAGAGGTTTTCGCTATAGGGCCCATGCGCTCACCAGAAAGAGAGAGACAGAGAGACAGAAAGTGAGAAATCACCCCCCGGGGGGACGGCCACACTGCAGTCCCTTCTCCTCCAGTTTCTTCTCAGGCTCTTGGGCATGCACGCACACGTGCCTGGCATGAGTTTAAGCCACTGGGTCCAGGACTGAAACTGTGGTCGACTACATGGGAGCCCAGCGACGTAGCCACTGCGCCAACTGCTGGTCCCTAGGCAGTTATCTTCTTATGGTCATGGCCTTGGACTACAATTTGATCAACTCATGACAAGATTGAGTCTATTGATTATTCCATCTAATCCTTGCATGAATCTGGTCTGTTAATTTCATCTTTCAAGGAGTTGAGAACCCGTTCCTTAGCCACCCGGTAGCAGTTTACACCTAGCTTTCACAAATAAGAATTCATTTAAAACATTAAAATTAATGATATTTTATACCAATCTTATTAAACAAAGTCTATTTTAGGCTAAGACGGGAATTTTATATTGCTGCCCCATGATTTATCATGTAAACATATATGTCTTTATATTCCAGAGTAAAAAAGTCCAACAATCCATTTTTAATTTTTTTTGGGGGGGAGAGATTTTTTGCTATAGGGTGCGTGCACTCACCAGACAGACAGAGAGAGACAGAGAGACAGAAAGTGAGAAATCACCCCCATGGGGCATGGCCACGCCGCAATCCCTTCTCCTCCATTCTCCTCTCGGGATCTTGGGCACGCATGCACACGCACCCGGTGTGAGTTTAAGCCACTGGATCCAGGATTCGAACTGTGGTCAACTACATGGGAGTCCAGCGACATAGCCATTATGCTAACTGCTGGTCCCCATTTTTTAATTTTTAAAAGGTTTTTGCCTTAGACCACAGTACAATCCCTTCTCCTCCATTCTCCTCTGGGAAGTTGGGCACTCATGCACAGATCCAGAAGTCACCAGGTCCAGGGACTCTATAGTCAGCTATGTGGGAGTCCAGCAACATTATTGCTATGTCATCTGCTGGCCACCCAACAATCTATTTTATAGCCCAAGCATTCTCTAGTAATTCTTCCATTTGTTTTAATAAAAAAAAAAAAAAAAAAGATGAGAAAAAAATGTGAATAATCTTTATTTTTTTTTGTAGAGGATTTTGTCTTTGGGCATATGTGTTCGACAGACAGAGAGAGAGACAGTGAGAGGAAAAGAGGAATCACCCCTCAGAGGGGATGCTCACACTGCAATCCATTTTCCTCCCGGAATTCAGGGCACACATGCACATGGATCCGGTGTGAGTTTCAAGTCACTGGGTCTAGGACTTGAACCACAGTTGACCATGTGGAAGTCCAGCAATGTGGTCACTACACTATCTGCTAGCCCCCAAATTTGAATAACCTTTTTTTTTTTGAGAGGTTTTTGCTATAGGGCACATGCGCTTGCCAGACAGACAGACAGACAGAGACAGAAAGTGAGAAATCACCCCCAGGGGGGATGACCATGCCACAATCCCTTCTCCTCTATTCTCTTCTTGGGATCTTGGGCACGTGTGCACATGTGCCTGGCGTGAGTGTAAGTCACCGGGTCTGGGACTCGAACTGCAGTTGACTACATGGAAGTTCAGCGACATAGCCTTTATGCTAACTGCTGGTCCCCAAATTTGAATAATCTAAATGATCTGAAATCTAACCAATCAAGTTATCTTGATGTATTTTAGGAAGAGATTAATAGGATGTGTAAAGCAATTTTGAACTGAGCATCTCTTTAGGAATAGGCGATTACATAGTATTCTCTAGGGAAAAGGTATTTTGAAGAAGTTAGATCTTTGAACAAGTTTGTGAAGAAACTTTTACTTATGACGAAAAGTTTTCAAATAATGCCATCAGCAAGCTTAAACAAGAGAGCAGCCCAAGTAAACTTGAAGCAAAGTATTATTATTCAACAAAATTGTCTGATTTGGGGTCTAACAGTTTTGTTCTTACAGGAGTAAATAACTTGCATATAAAGCTAAATAATGTATTGTCTTTATATTTAAAGAATTTTTAAATATAACTTTATTTATTATTATTATTTTCCAGTTTGATCAGAGAGGCAGAGAGAGAGGGAAACTGAGAAAGCAAGCCACCAGGTCTGAGACTGGAACCATGGTCAGCCATAAGGAAGTCCAGCACCCTTAACCACCATATCACCTGCCGGTCCCAAAGCTAAATAATTTCTAAAAGAAAAAAGCAGCATCAACGAAGAAATCACATATCAAAACCACATTTAAGGTCTCAAAAAGTATCTGTCTCATAGCCTCAAAACCACTTTAGCTTCAGTTATTTCTTTGTGAAATTTAGGTGAATAAAACCACAAAGTTCATAGCCTTCTAAATAATGAGCCACAATGGACTTATTCCAAAATTTTTGCCACTAGAATGGGCAGGTGATACTACACTGATTTTAGTGAAGAAGGGAATTTTCTTAGCATCAACATGTGAAAACTTCAGTAATTCAGCACAGTTATTAGTACTTATATACATACATAGTCAAAAATACGACAAGATGATTGCAGGCAATAGGCAAATATCACAATTTTGTAAAGATTTTGTGAAAACTCAAATATGCTAAACTACAACACTAACTTCTTGTGAATAAAATTATTATTTAGAATCACCTTTATGGTATTAAAGAAGAAACAATGAAAATCGTTCATTTTATAAGCTAAGCATTATAGCATTGTATTAATGGATCAAAATGTGCTTCTTATATTTTTAATTACAGTGTTCCACGTGGTTCTATATTATGTTTATATATATTAATTTTTCTGTAGTGAAATACATACGAATATACTATATTATATATAAAACAGTAAATGTAAGAAATCTCAGGGTTTATAGAATAATGGTCAATGCTCTGGAGAAGAGGATGGTAATCTTTTTCTGCAAAGGGCTAAATGGTAAACATTTCACTTTGCAGGGCATGCAGTCTCTGCCACAATTACTTAACCTTGCCATGGTGCATAAAAGTAGCTTTTAGACAGTACAAAACAAATGAATGTAGCTATGTCCCTGTAGAACTTTATTCACAAAATCATACAATGGGAATTTTTGGCAGCCTTACTGTGGGACTATAGCTCACCGACCAATCAAAGATCAGACTTGGTCAGTGTGATTTTCCTTATTATATGGTGTGTCTTTATAAAAGAGCCACAAAGTTTTACCAAATAGCAAACCAGCATACCTTTTCCCCAGGAATTCCGGGAGCACCAACTTCACCTTTATTACCAACTGCACCCTAAAACATAGAAATGCTCATTAGGATATATTTTTTTAAAGTGTGTTAGTATCTATGTTGTCAAAAAGAATCTACTATTTCGTATGTGAGTTGCTTTTACATGCTTCAAAGTTTGTGTCTCAAGTTCCTTCCTTGTACCTCCACATTTTATAAAACTGTCATTTTGAAAACCATCAAAAAACAATGAATAAGTATCAAAGAGCTAGACGAAACTCAATCTAGACATTATGCATACAGAAATATGTAATTCAGCTTTTTCATTTGTTTATCGAAGGTAAGGAATGATTTTTTTTTGCTTTTACCTGAATATCAGAAAGAAGTTTAAATGAATTAAGAGCTATAGTCTACATGAGACTTTTAACTTAATAAGGTATCAAATTTCAAACTCCAAGTTACCCACATGTATATTTTTTAATATGGTATGCCTGACCCTCCTTTGCGCCCTTCAAGAAAAAACTCTGAAACTGAGTCAATTCAATTGCCAAATTTTCTGCTCTTCTACCTAAACTGCATACAGGGTTGGAAAAACAGGTTTAATGAAGTTTATGCATCCACTATGGTGATGGCTCTATCACAAATTTAGTATAATAAATTTGCTCAGAAAGAGTGGAAATTGATATAGCTTTTTTCTTTAGGACTTATTTTTACTATAGGGTGCATGTGCTTGCCAGAGAGACAGAGAGACAGAGAGACAAAAAGCGAGAAATCACCCCCAGGGGATGGCCACGCCGCAATCCCGTCTTTATTCTCCTCTCGGGATCTTGGGCACACACATATATGCACCCAGTGTGAGTTTTAAGCCGCCGGGTCTGAAACTGATGCCTGGTCTGGGACTGAAGCTACGATCGACAATGCGGGAATCCAGTAATGTAATCATTACACTATCTGCTAGTCCTGACTTTTAGAACGAATTACTCTAATTATCACTAATGCTGGTGGAGACCAGGAAATATAATTTTATGAGTATATAATACCATTTTTATGCCGTCCATTTCAGATTTAACACATACTAGTGAATTTCACCTTCAGGTTTCTATAGAGTAGATGATATATATATTACACATATATATATTAGTTTGGGTAAAATTGTTATAAAAAGTATCTGTCAATTAATTGAATATACTCAACATGGTATAGTAGTATGACTAAGCATTTCTTAATCTTTTGTTTGTTGTAGGGCACAGGCACTTGCTGGAGAGAGAGAGAGAGAGAGAGAGGTGAGAGTGAAAGTGAGAAATCTCCCCCTTGGTGGAGTGACCATGCTGGGATCCCATCTCCTTCAGTCTCCTGCTGGGATGTGGGGCATGCATGCACAAGTGCCTGGTGTTATTTTTAAGTTACCAGGTCCAGGTCTTGAACTGCACATGTGATCTAGCTACCTTATCCTTCATGCCACCTGCTGGCTCAATATTTCTTATTTGTATATTGGCAAAGAAGCAAAGAAGTCAAAGACATATTAAATTTTACTGCTGTGAGGTTATTACTAAGGGATAGTAATGCGAATGTATTTTGGATCAATTAAATTTTATTGGTATGGTATGGTTATAGAATGGTACAGAGAATATTGTTAGATTAGGAAGAAAAAGAGGGGAACTCACTAATAACATCTGGGTTAACACATGAGACTGCTTAAAATGGAAATTCCACAGTGAGATTGGAGATTGGGAGAAGTTGAAAAAAAGAAATTCTAGTTTTCCAGTTTTTAACAAGGAGTCATATATATTAACTTCTTATTTTTTTAGAGTGAGAGATTTTTTGCTATAGGGCATGTGCACTCACCAGAGAGACAGGAAGTGAGAAATCGGCCCCCGGGGGGGGGATGGCCACGACACAATCCCTTCTCCTCCATTCTCTTCTCAGGATTTTGGACATACATGCACATGGGCCTGGTGTGAGTTTAAGCCACCTAGTCCAGGACTCAAATCACAGTCAACTATGTAGGAGTCCAGCAACGCAACAATTACACCATCTGCTGGTCTCAATATATGTTAACTTCTTTTAAAATTGTTTTGACAGGATCAGCAGATGGTGTAATGGTTACGTCGCTAGACTCCCACATAGTCGACTATGGTTCTAGTCTTAGGACCAGCAGCTTAAACTCACACTGAGCGCACGTGCATATGTGTCCAAGATCCCAAGAGAAGACTCAAGGAGAGGGAACTGCAGCATGACCATTCCTTCCTGGAGGGTGGATTTCTTTCTTTCTGTCTCTTCGGGGAGTGCATATGCACTATTGCAAAATTTTTTCTAGAAACATTTTTTTTAATTGGTTTGACATTTTCTCAAAGTACATCAGCAAAACTATTGTTTCATAAAGTCAACATGTTTTGGGAAATTAATTGGAGATGTAGAAGATAATAATTCAAAAATAAGTTGGAAAGTTATTCCCAAAATTGAGCTCAGATCATACTCTCCCTTAGGTTCAGGACCATTGAAATTGAGCTGCTATTTCATAAAATTCCAAGACAATTTCAGTGCTGAAGTGAGTGAGGGTATTAGCAAGGGTCTTAAAGAATTGAGAAAATAATGTGGTTGCTAGGTAATTAGGTTGCTAACTATACTTGCTAAGAAAGGGGAATTAAAAGATTCAGAAAATTACAATAATTGAGCCTGGAAAAAAGAAAAGTATTAATTATTACTTCAAATAATGTCATACAGAGTTTAGTCTTGGACTCTACAGGGCATGATTAAAATGCTTTGATTAGGTGCCTTGCTATAGAATATTGATTACTACTAGGTTTCTAAATTTAAGCAGTGGTATTTCAAGCTAGGTTTTTCCATGAAAGGAAGATCATCAGCTTTATAAAACCAAAGCAAAACAGTAAATCATATTAATAAAGCATCACAGTGTGGATGAGAAATAGGCAAATAAAGGTAAACATTGGCCCAGCTTCGGGGGGAGGGTGATAATTTGCCGCTCTGCAGTGCTGGAAGCCACATGGCCTATTGCAAGTTCAGATCCGAGTCTATCTGAAACATATGGGTGTGTATTTGTACCCCAGATCCTAGCTGGAACACTGGGGAAAAGGGATTATAGCATGAGGAGACCTTATTGAGGGTGCTGGCCTCTCTCTCTCAATAAATAAATGAGCTGAAAAAATCAAATCATGTCAAAACTTATGTCCTATCCCAAAATATTTCTGTTATTCATGAACTAATCTGCAATATCAAGCTAAAACTGATCAGGTCAATATATGAAAAGAGCTCTCTCTCTCTCTCTCTCTCTCTATATATATATATATATATATATATGTATATATATAGATAAAAATATATATATATATGTATATATATAGATAAAAATATCTATCTATCTATATATATATTTTTTTTTTTGGAGAGGTTTTCGCTATAGGGCGCGTGTGCTCGCCAGACAGACAGAGAGAGACATAGAGACAGAAAGCGAGAAATCACCCCCAGAGGGGATGATCACGCCAAAATCCCTTCTCCTCCATTCTCTTCTCAGGATCTTGGGCACTCACGCACACGCACCTGGTGTGAGTTTTAAGCCACTGGGTCTGGGACGTGAACTGCGGTCGACTATGTGGGAATCCAGCGACATAGCCATTATGCTAACTGCTGGTTCCCAAGAGCTCCATTTTTTTAAGGAAAAATTTTTGTAGTGAATAATATATTCTAGGATTAGCTCATTTAGCTCTTTCTTTGAAAATCACTCTTGGTCCTGCTTGGAAGAGTCCTCTGGACAATTGAGGAGTAGAAGTTTAGGTTCTAGAAACAATTAAATTGATGATTTATACTTTGCATGAGGTTTACTGTTCATTCATTCAGTCAGCACGGTTTTAACTTCTATTATGTGTTATTCTATATATGAAGCTTCCAGAGCTCATAGTCTAATGAGGAAATAAACAGAAGCATAATGATAATCTATCAGATAACCATAAAGTGTTAAGTAAGGAAATACAGATGGATGGAAGGAGGTATTTTATAAAGAGATGTCGGAATTGACCTCTTCATTTAGAAGTAGGTTTTGAGCAAGGGCCTAAATGGTGGGGAGAGGCAAGAGGATTTCTAGAAGCACATTCCAGGTATACATAACTCCACATACAGAACTTGGAGAGGAATGAACAAGGAGAGAGGATTCCATTAATATGTACCACGAGTAGAACGTAATAACTCAGGATGTTTTTTATGTACTAAAACATCTCGTGAATTAAAAATTCTAAGGGATTACCTTACAAATTAAGTTTCAAAAAACCAAGCCACATATGAAATTAAACTCAAACTAAAATCTTATGTAGTTCAGGTTCCAAGGTGGTACTCATTCTAATATCCTGTCCTGCCTCCTGTACACATTCTTTCTTGGTCTTACAGATCAAAAAGAAAACCTTTAGACAATATCTGGTTCCCTTAGTAACGCTGTGATTCTGATCACTTCACAAAATTAACTTTTCAATATGCCCTGGAGCAAAATGACTTTCGATCTTCAAGTTATGTAGACATTATTTTGTGCACCTGCTCTAATAATGAAAATTATATGCCAGAATCAAACACAGAGGAAATTCTTCTTTATTTATTGCACATTAAGTTTGCAAGATCACATAGGGCAATAGGAACAGGAATAAACTAATCATCAACCCCTTAAAATGAAACAGTACATCCACGTTTATTATAAGCTCCAGGACAGTTGAATGCATTCATAGCCATGGTCATCTGAAGTCATTTTTACAAGGCAAGGTTTATGCTGGTTTAATCAAATGCGGGTGCATGTGTTGAAAAAATAAAGAAAGCACACAGATTACTTATTTAATTTGTAGACTTTCAATTTATTTAATCCTACCTGTTTTTGTATGGCCACCAAAATCACTTGTAATTGTGAGTTTTGTGTACTTGTAATTAAAGAGTTGGAGCGAAAATGTGTATTTAAAAAGTGTGCACTTGGGACCAGCAGATAGCATAACAGTTACATTGCTGTGTTTACTCCCACATAGTTACCTGCGGTTCGAGTCCCGGACCCAGAGGCTTACACTCACACCAGGTGCATGTGTGTACAAGCCCAAAATCCCTAGAAGAAAATGTAGGAGAAGGGATTGTTGCATGGTCGTATCCCTTGGGGGGATGATTTCTCACTTTCTGTCTCTTTGTCTCTCTCTGTCTCTCTGGCTATCACACATGTCCTATAGCAAAAATCTCTCTCTTAAAAAAAAAAAAGTGTGCACTTGGTCTGGCCCTAGAACCCAGTGGTTAAGGGAGCCAGGTCTCACATGGCTGACTGCAATTCTAATCCCAGCTCCGGTGACTTGAACACATGCCAGATGCACACACTCCAGATCCTTAAAGAATGGAGAAAAGGATAAGGGACTGTGGTATGACTACGACCTTCAGCACGATGCTTTATCCCTGTCTCTGTCTCTGTCTGGTGAGCACATGGGCGATAATTGTTGACTCTTTTATTTTTTTTTAAGGTATGGGCTCTAGAAGAGTTACCTAGTACTTAATCTTTTTTTTATTTTAAAGATAGTGTATATATATATATATATTTTTTTTTTTTTGGGAGAGGTTTTCGCTATAGGGCGCATGTGCTCGCCAGACAGACAGAGAGAGACAGAGAGACAGAAAGCGAGAAGCGAGAAATCACCCCCCAAGGGGGATGGCCACACCACAATCCCTTCTCCTCCATTCTCTTCTCAGGATTTTGGGCACACATGCACATGTACCCTGCGTGAGTTTAAGCCACCGGGTCCAAGACTCAAACTGCAGTCGACTACGTGGGAGTCCAGCGACATAGCCATTACCCTAACTGCTGGTCCCGTGGATAGAATAATTTTCTTAACAATAATTCAAATAGGGTCATGCTTCTGACACAAAAATACTTTAAAAAAGAATAGGAGTATTTCGAAAGTATTTTACTCCTTCAAAAATGAACATGTGAAATTACTTCTATGCCATTTACCTTTTTTTTTTAGTTGTTTACTATAGGACATGTGTGCTTGACAAAGAGAGACAGAGAGAGAAAGTGAGAATGTGAGAAATAACTCCCTAAAAGGGGATAGCCATGACATAATCTCTTCTTCTCCAGTCCCCTTTTGGGATGTTGGGCACACACACACAGATCTGGCATGATTTTTTTTTTTTCCTGAGAAATTTTTGCTATAGGGCTCATGCATTCACGGGAAAGACAGAGCAAGACTGAGAGACAGAAAGCAAGAAATCACCTCCCCCGCCCCCACCAGAGGGATGGCCTCACTGCAACCCCTTCTCCTCCACAAGTGCATGGCATGAATTTTAAGCCTCTGGATCTGGGACTCAAACCACAGTCAACCATGTGGGAGTCTAGTGTCTTAACCACTACACCACCTGATTTTTAAGCCAATGGGTCTGGGACTTGAACTGCACAGCTGGCCATGTGGGATCTAGCATCTTAACCTCCATGCAGCCTAATGGCCCAATCTTAAACATGACAGCATTATGCCATAATAATTTGTGATTTTAGTCTGATTGAGGTAATCTTTGGAGTGAGATACTTAATTAATTTGAATTTTCATATAATGATACTAGAAGAAAAGGTACCCTCAAAAATATGATTTAAAGGGCAACAACACATATGCCATCCTACCTCAAACATCTCTTCTTAAACACCTGCTGCAGTGCCCTGAGTTCCTGTATAAGGTACAATGGGAAGACTTTTTTTTTTTTTTGAATTAAATGATTAGCTTTGTAGTATCAGTCAGTTCTCAGGCATTGGTCTCCTTCCTTTTAAAAAGAGGAGCAACCAGATTATATAAATCATTTAGAACTGTAAACTTCCAAGATAAAGCATGAAAGGAATTAAAATCTGTTTCACTTTGGAAAGATACCAAAATCATGATCAACTCCAAATCTTAGTTCAAGTTAATTTACCAGATTAACCAACCACAACCAGAAAAAGTGACTCAAAAGAGGGGGAAACATTACTATGAGGTTTTGATAGAGGTGGGAGAAGGGAAAGACAAACTTCTAAGCCTCAAAGTATATACTTGGAGGTTCAGTTCTCTCATTGTCTCCATTAAATTCTTCTCAGTCTTCAAAGATTCTTCTCCCAGAACACTTAACCTCTTATACTGAACCTGTCATGTAGCCCTGTGATCTCTGTGTCTCCTAGATGTCCACTTCTTCTTTTTTTTTTTTTTTTGGAGAGTTGTTTTGCTATAGGGCATGTGCACTCACCAGAAAGACAGAGAGAGACAGAAATAGAAAGTGAGAAATCACCCCCCAGGGAGTATGGCCACGCTGCAATCCCTTCTCCTCCATTCTCCTCTTGGGATCTTGGGCACGCACGCGCACGCACGCACCGGGTGTGAATTTTAAGCTACTGGGTCTGGGACTCGAACCGCAGTCGGCTACATGGGAGTTCAGCAACATAGCCATTACGCTAACTGCTGGTCCTTAGATGTCCAATTTTTTTTTTTTTTTTTTTAGAGGTTTTCACCATAGGGCACGTGTGCTGGCCAGATAGACAGAGAGAGACAGAGAGACAGAAAGCGAGAAATCACCCCCCAGGGGGGATGATCATGCTGCAATCCCTTCTCCTCCATTCTCCTCCTGGGATCTTGGGCACGCACGCGCACGCACGCACCGGGTGTGAATTTTAAGCTACTGGGTCTGGGACTCGAACCGCAGTCGGCTACATGGGAGTTCAGCAACATAGCCATTACGCTAACTGCTGGTTCCCAAGATGTCCAATTCTTGTCAACAAGAAATTATCCTAGTTTTCTTCTTGTCCTTCTCTTCCTCTTTTTCTTCTCCTTTTTAATTGCCATAGGACATGTCTGCTCATGAGAGAGAGAAAGAGGAGAACACCCCTTGATGGGGCATGGTCACCCCAGAACTCTTTTTTCTCCACTTTCCCATCCTATTAGGACTTGGGGTACTCAGGCACATGAGCCTGGTGTATTTCCCAGGCTTTTGAGGCCAAGATGTGAACTGTGGTTGGCCTTGTGGAATCTGGCTCGCTATGCACAGGGCTTAACAGCTGGCTACGGGATCAGCCCTTGTTGCCTAGTTTTTATATTTCCTGCAGTACCCAGCTCCATGTTTCACGCACAGAGAGTGTTAACAAAGGCTGACTGCTTAAATTAGGGGGAGGGAGCTAAGGAAAACTCTTCAATGGGGACATGTCAGCTGACAAGAGAAACAGGAGTTCATCAGCTATTGAAGAAAGCTAGGGCATACTTAGAGAACAAACTGCCTCACAGTTTTGCTTGGCTCTTCTAGGTGCAAAGACTTGCAGTTCCAGATATTTCCAAATCTAGTTTCAGTCTTCCAACATGAATTCAGAAGCAGACGAGAATGTTGTTGTAGTCTTTCTTATTTCAGTGATCAATGTTTAATATAATCCTTGATAGTCTTTTACAGAAATGTAAAATATATATGTATATATATGGAACATAGAAAAAATGAGATGTACATATTTTTAAGTCACTTTTAAACAAAATTTTCTCTTTTATCTAAAAAATATGTGTTTATGTCTTACCGATTCTCCTTTATCTCCTTTCTGTCCAGGTGAACCCGGAGCTCCTGGTAGTCCTTTTTCTCCCTGAGCAGACAATGAACCTCTGTATTAGCAAACATCCTGTAGACATTGATCTAAAGCCACAGAGCTTGTACACTGGAAGCCAGCAGTGATAAGCTCCAGGTCTGCTCTCCTCTGAGCAGATGCTAGTCCCTCCGCTGGCATGTCCTTTCCTGACTCATGAGGTTCGCAGTTCTTCACTCTTCCAAACACTGATGTTGTCGCCTTCAAAAGATCTCCCAAAGAGTGGGATGTGTGCTGTTGCTCTCTAATTCCCTGAGCCTTATACTTTCCCTTGCCATGGAGCTTACTAAGCAACGTTAGTCACTAGAGGAAACGAAAGTCTCCTGTAAACTTTCACCCCACCTCCATCCCCTCTGGTTCAGCCAGGAGGGAAGTGATAGTGAATGAGTCAAGTCTACAGGCCTGTCTTAGGTTAGGTCACGGTGCTGGGGAACACTCTGCTAAAGGAACTGGAAGAAGTTCTCCTTTCCTTGGGCATATGAGACATGGACATAGGGGAAAGCCCCCAAAAGCCATACCAGCTTTTTTCAGGTCAGGCCTTATGGCCACCGTTAACATTCATGAATCAAGTTCATGTAGGTCCACAAACCCAGCCTCCCTGACCAGGGACCGTGTAGGTGCAGGTGAAATAAAAACTCAGGTAATAACAGAGACCTTCCGCATTTCCCGGCTGAGACTTCTGATGGAGGGAAGTAATTAGCTGATACTAGATCGACACAATTCCCACAGAAAAAGGACTGTGTTGGGTATCTCTGTGTGTGTTTGTTGCAGAGTAGGCACGGTGTCTCCTTCAACTGGGGACCCCCAGAACCTTGGCCTGCTCCTGGCACATGGTGAGTACTCAATGCTTACCTGAGGTCCAGGTGGTTCTGCCTTTCACCACTAATTCTAATTCACATTCTGGAAGAAAAGTCAGATGGGCTCGGAACTATCCAGGTACAGAGCTGGGAAGTCCTACCATCCATATTCCCTTTTAACCCACCCAAGGAGAGTGACTTGGGCATTTTATTCAGCTAGCACTGAGGGCATGACACCTTCTGGGCCACATTCAGGGAGCCTGGCCCCCAATCTGGAGTGACTTCTCAGTGAGCACAGATTAAAAGCAGCATACCTTGTTCGGAACACACTGGCACTGGTCGCTGAGTTCCTGCTTTGCTGGCAGATATGCAGAGAGTTTACTGGCATGAGCAGTTACCAATGAGGACGCAGTACTTCCAAAGCCATGCTGTTCCGGGCACTAAAATCCAAAAAGAAACTTTAAGAAATGGGACCAATTCCAAACATTCCAAACCAGGGATGGCAAAGGCTGCCTGAAGAATTGCTGCCTTGTTAACCAAAACTTCACACCAGTGTGGGAAAGTGTACCATCTTTTGCTCGCTCGCTGACCCCTGTGTGTTCTAGAACACTGATGGCACACAAGAACAAGAACGGTCTTGATGAGGAAGTGACTGTGACAAGTAAAATAATATTCTGTGACAGTTACATTGTTTCAATAAAATGACTTAAACAAACGATATGTGTACGTGGATTTTGGGGAAGAAATGTTAAATTAAAGCATGCCATTTGAATCTTTAAAATATAACTTACTGGGACCAGCAGTTGGTATAATGGCTATGTCACTGAACTCCCATGTAGTCAACCACAGTTCGAGTCCTGGACTCGGTAGCTTAAACTCACACTGGGCATATGTGTGTGTGTGCCCAAGATCCTGAGAGGAGAATGAAGAAGAAGGGATTGCGGTGTGGCCATCCCCCCCTGGGGGGGGGGATGATTTCTCACTTTCTGTCTCTGTCTCTCTCTGTCTGGTGAGCACATATACCCTATAGCAAAAACTTCTCCTAAATAAATAAATAAATAAATAAAATATAATTTACTTCAACAAAATTACCACAAAGCTATGTAAAGTAGAAAAACAAACACACTTTACATGCTAAGGCAGTATCTATTAAATCAAAGTATATCTTAGTCTAGTTCACTGTCCATTAAAGATATTTAAGAAGTTACCACTGCAACAGATAAGTGCTAGATTTTGTACTTATCCAATGGGTTCAGAACACACTAAACAACATGAAGTGAAATTTGCTTACAAAGCAATGGATTATTTTTCTCCCCCAAATTAATCCAGATGGATTCTGAACAAAATAAATGCATCTTTTCTTCTCAACATCATGTACCAGGCTCCTCATCAGGGTTTATAACTCTGAATTTGCTCTTTCATGAAGTAAAAGTATTAGAGGATACAACTCTTGTATTCCTTTGTATACTACAAATAATATGTTAATGAAAAAATATTTTAGATATACTCAACTAAAAAATTGTCAATGATTATCTTCCGTGGTTGATATCATCTGTGATATTTCTTTTTTTTTAATTTAGCTATATTTTCCAAGTTTTCTACAGTAAACATTTATAACTTTTGTAATAAAATGATTTATTTCTAACCTGGGAAGTATGCTAATGTTTATGATAACAACAACAGAAACTGCAATGAACTAACACCCAGACATACCACTACTTGTTTGCTGCCTTCACTATAGGTTCTTTCCTATCTACTCTAGATTTAGTGACTATTTAGTTATCCTAATAAATTTTCAAGTCCCAAATTCTAAAACCTACATTCAAAACCGTATTATCACCACAAGAGTTCATTAACCACATATGATTTGACACAGCCAGCTTTTGCCTCATGAGTTTCCAATTAGATAACCAAGATCCACTTAAAATTCACAATTTTGCCCTGGATATCTGAGTCACTATGTTAAACGGAGGATCTAAACAACCTCAAAAGTATGTCTCAGGCTTCATTATAAAACTGTCCACACTCCCTAAAAAGTGCCTAAAGGCAACATGAAATATACAAGTTAGGACTCCTCCACCCATAAAAACTCTGGTTTTATTTTAACACATATTCAGTTAATTAGCCCTTAAAAATTTAACCACATTTCTCATTTCTTCTAAGCAAACATTGCTGATTTCTTCCTTCTTTCATATTTGTCCTTCATTCTGTTTATGTCTGTAGTCATAAAACTTGTATGCTTCAGAAACTGAAAATCTAATAGAAGTAAGAAAGTATCTTGTAAGATGACTTTGAATAAATTTCCCTTTGAAATACTCTATAAAATATTAAAACAAAGAACATGTGTGATTTGAAATTCCAAGACAAAACTAGATAGTTGAGTACATTAAAATTTTCTGAGTTCAAAACATTTTACAAAAAAAAAAAAATTGCAGCTGGCATCAGAAAAACAACAGATGCATTTAAACTGCTTTTATGTAATTATTTTTCTTCCAACTATACATCCCCATTTTTACAATGTAGCTTGTCTCTATTTTCTGTTAACCATGAAATGGATGGTGATGGATTCCCCAAACAATTATCAGCAGGATTTTTTTATGTACAACCTTTTATTATTTTTTCATATCTGGGGATGAATTTCTATCTTACTTTTTATTCTTTGAAACTAACTCCTAAATCATCTTTTAAAAAATGGTATAAATTTTCATAATGTGAGTTCATATCATTGCTTTTGATTTCCAAATCACTCCATCCAATCCATCACCTAAACTTATCTTCCTCATAATAAGGGTTGAAAATATCTATTACGTAGTATACAGAACAGTGATTATTGGTCAATAGTACAATTTTTAGATAAAATAAAATATCATGTTACTTTTTAATCAGAGATTATTATTATTTTAAGTATTACTACATCAAATAAAATTAATTTTGAAAGTTTTTAGAGAATTAACATCTTCAAGTTTTAAACATGTAGCTCTTGGAAATCTAGGTATTACAAGTCTGGGGACTGACGTTCTAAATTATCTTTTTAGATATTTATAGAAAGATATTTGGCTGGCTTTCATTTTATCTGGAATGAGAGCTATAAACATGGTTGGAAATATGTTTTACAAAGCAAATAAGGTTTACAAAGCCAAGTTACCCAAGCAAAACATAAAATAGTCGAAAGACTTAGCAATGTTTTGAATCACTTAGTTACATTCTTACTCTACTACCGGAAGAACTACAGAAGTTAAAAATATTTTTGAATTATAATTATTGATACAAGTTTTTAATAATTTCTCTCTCTCTCTCTTTTTTGTAGAGGTTTTCGCTACAGGGTGCATGCGCTCGCCAGAAACACAGAGAGAGACAGAGAGACAGAAAGTGAAAAATCACCCCCCAGGTGGGATGGCCATGCCGCAATCCCTTCTCCTCCGTTCTCTTCTTGGGATCTTGAGCACGCACGCACACGGGCCCAGCGTGAGTTTAAGACACCAGGTCCAAGACGTGAACCGCGGTCGACTACATGGGAGTCCAGTGACATAGCCATTATGCTAACTGCTGATCCCAAGTATTTTATAATTTTTATGACAAGTTTATAACTTCTGGGAAATCTAAGAGCTAAAGAAAAAAATTACCTTTTACATTTTGTACATTTTATGTCTTCTGTGAGAAAGTGAGCAAAAGAAAGATAGGCATCCCCAACAGGGTCTTTGTATCATTATCCATCCCCTAGTCTTAGCTCCTTGGGTCAGGAGCATACACACACCTAATGAGCAGAGGAGACCTCTGGATGCCAACCCAGGACCTGTTCATGTGGGTCAGCATCTCAGAGCATTGCTTTACCACTGCACCACCAAAAAACAGCCTCCATAAGTTCTTTCTGTACATTTTCAGAATTAGTCACTTTGCACATCTCTTGCCTCATGTATCTTTAGCACTTGATAAGTCAACAAAACAAGAAAGGATGACTGGCTACCTTCTCCAAACAAAACGGTAGGAATAAAAAGAGTATGAAGGTAAAACTCACCATCGTGAGTCTAAATTGTACTTGAATAACTGGAAAACAAATGTAATTATACTTAATAATACAAGACAGCACACATGACCATTACAAAGGGAGACGGCATGCAGCGAAATCTGGTGTTTTTCTTAGAATGTGACATTGGCATGTGATAGTAATAGTTGTAGGCCTGGCCACAGACCCTTGTTCTGCAATGCTGGAGCATGTGGAGGACCAGGGTTCGTATTCCTGTTTGACCTGAAACATGATGATCACCTGTGGATGTGTCCATGATCCTGGGAGCTTAGAGATGGGGGTGATTTGGGCACAACGGGAACTTTATAAGGGTGCCAATTTTACATCTTTTTCAAAATAAAATAAAAGTTGTACAGTTAGGTTGAGATATTTAGAATGAAAGGCAGAGTAGGATTTGTATTTTGTGGCCAATGAAGAGTCACCTGAGAAAGTTAAGCAGAGGGTGGAGAATGTACCTTGTTCATGAACTACCCTGTTCCTTAGCACAGTGTCTGAAAGATCAATGGTTTTGAATAATACATGTTTGCTGGGAGAAAGCACATGAATACACAAAGCAGTGATTCAGAGACTTATTCTGATAATGCTGCAAAGAAAAAGGACTGGATGGGGAAGGCAGTGGATATGATAATGGAAAACTCTAGGCATAGGGTAACATTGACTTTGGCAGTAACAAAGAAAAGGAAGATGAGAATGAAAAGTGTGTCACAAAGAACTACTGAAGACGGGTGACAGGCTAGAAAAAAATAAATGAATGAGAATAAGGTATGATCATAGATGTAAACATCTGTAACTGAAAACTAATGATCACTTTGTACATGAGCACATAATTTAGGGACAAAGATATAAATTCTCTTTAGTCACGTTGAGTCCAAAGTGAGGACATATCACACCTAAAATTCAGGGTGAAATGCTGGGATTAAAGTCATAAAAAGAAGGCCAGCCCCATGGCATAGTGGTTTAAAGGAGCCAGATTCCACCTGGCTACTGATGCAGTTCAAGTCCCAGCCCGGCAGCTTGAAAAATATACCAGGCGCACGTGTATGCCCAAAATCCTAACAGGGCAGAGTAATGGAGAAGAAGCGATTGCAGTGTGGCACATCCCATTAGGGGGTGCTTTCTCCTTCTACCTCTCTCTGTCTCTTTGTATCTCTCCAGTAAGTACGCACACCCTCTGGCCAATTAAAAAAGAAAAATCATAAAAAGAGACCATGAGAGAGAAGGAAGAAGCCCGTCTTAATCGGAAGCAAATACTCATTTGGTTTCAAGAGAAGATACTTAGTGCTTTTCTGCACTCAGACTTGTACAGATTACACAACTGAAAGATAACCGGCATTCTTCATTCTTCACATGCCAAAAAAATTCACTTACCTTAGTGTCTGATATTTCACAACAGGTTTCTTGAGCTATGATGCTTGTGTTGCAGTAGATTCTAAGTTGGTGGAGTTCGATCTATTAAAACAATTAAAAATAACAGATTGCATTGGTTTTTGTTCAGTCACAGTTAAGCAGGTAAGGACTATAGTAATTTAACCAGAAAGACAAAGAAACTAAACAAAATAAATTACTAGGGGATATTTTTAATGTTTTTATTTCATTGTGGACCACTTAAGCAATAAAGTTAGATATCAGAAAGCAACTATAACCATGGCTAATTTTTTGCAAGTAATAAAGAAGTTTTTAACTATGTAAAGTTATTGTTATGTACTACACTGAAATACGCCCACGAAATGAGGACATATCAAAGTAAACAATTCTGAAAAACCAAGTCAAAGGTATGAGCATATGATGGGACAGCCTTTTTTGCAGCTCCAGACTATTCCTATTTGAGGTATTATTTAATAAAATACATGGGGACTTCAAAACATTCATGAAAAAAGTAAAATTTAAGTATGAGTGTATTTTGGTGCCAAAAAAGTAGAAATCTATGCAAAATCTTTTCATAATACACATTTTCCTTGAACTTTTTGAAGACCCTTCATAGATGTACACTTCCTAATAAGGGGGAAAAAGGAACAGTTTTTAGTTCTTATCTATAGTTCATAAATTCTGCTAAAACCCATCAATTTTATATTATATTGGTACAATCCTGAGCAATACTCATAACTTTTTTTTTAATAAAAACAATTGATTACTGGGTCAGCCAGTGGCTGGTGTTTAAGGCCTCTGGATCCCATATGACCGACCACACTGTTTGAGTCCTGGATCTTGAAAACCACACTAGGCATGCATGTGTGTGCCCAAAATCCCAAGAGGAGAGTGGAGGAGAAGGGGTTGTCCCTGGGTCCAGGTGCAGTTTTCCACTTTCTCTCTCTCTCTCTTTCTCCCTCCAGCTTCATCTCTTTCTGGTGAGTACACACACCCTATAGCAAAAACTAAATAATAATAATAATAATTGATCGCTTTCATTTACTCTGCAGCCTTATTTAATTTTTTTTTTTTTGTATTTGAAAATGAAATTAAAAGTAGCTCAAGGATGGGACTTGTAGATAACATAATAGTTACGTCTCTGGACTCCTACATGGCCAACTTTGATTTGAGTCTTGGACCCTGTGGCTTGAAACACATGTTGGGTATGTGTAAGTGTGTGCCCAAAATCCTGGGAGGAGACTGGAGGAGAAGGGATTGCAGACGGCCACACTACTTTGGGAGTGATTTTTTGCTTATTTCTTGCTTTCTATCTCTTTGTCTTTCTCTGTTTCTCTGGCAAGTACACGCACCCTATAGCAAAATATCTCTCTTAAAAAAATCATTTAAGGAAAGTATAATCATGCCTTTAAATGCAAGATTTAATAATGAACTAAGAAGAAGTAAAAGTGCTAATTATAACTTATCAATATGATAAATATTTAAATAGGCCGTTTGAATTTTGGAATCATTGAAATGTATTAAATAATGTTTATGTTAAGTAGACATCAATTGGAGCTTTGATATTAGTTTGTGGTTGAGAATTTAATAATCTAATTAGTACTTAAATATATGATCATCTGACATATGACCTAGGTCAGGGAAAATCTCTCCCCCTTTCTTCCTCTTTCTTGTCCCCGTCTTTCTCTCTCTCTCTCTCTACCTCTTTCTACCTCTTTTTCTGTCTCCCAATGTAGCAGAGCTAGGTTGTGTATTAATTTGGAATCAATAGGTACTTTCTACAGAAAGGTCTCATTATAATGTTATAGTAATTAATACAATTATAATAGAAAGCACACGTGGTTTGTTGTGTCTCTCAACCCAAACAACAACAACAACAACAACAACATCAAGCTATATTATACACTGAAATGAACAAAATCAATTTGGATCAGAAAGTATTAAGAACTCCCTACATCTTGCAGATTCATGAGCAACGTAAGATTTATGGGCAATACAAAATTCTGAGACTAAATGAAATTTAATGATTTCTAGCTACCTATAACTTTTGCATAGTTATTGATGTTAACTTTTCTTTATAAAATTTAAACACACTGTCTTAAACAGTCTAATGAAATACTGGCAGTAACATACCAATTATGTAGAATAAAGAATGGGAACTCCAATCAATTAATATTCTTAACTAAAGCTTATTTATCATCATCATTGTTATCAAAATAGTCAATAAATATTGAAATCTTACTATGTACCATCCACTGTGTTGGGTCTTTCATATGAATTATTTTATTTAACTAAAAATAGATTATCAATTTTTGAAGGATTAGAACCTTATCAAATACCCAACACTAAAACTACACTCAGCCTAGTTTAATCATGTCTTCTTTATTCATTAGTTATTTTAGAATCTTTCATTGATACAGTGCTTTAGAAGAAGAATATTTAGAGCTAAGTCTATACTGACTTCACATTGAAGATTTGTTCATTAAAACAAATTCCTGCATAACAGTTTTGTCAATGCTCACAAAAGCACAAAGGTAGTATATGTAAAATAAAACCCAAACATTGGAATGATTTTTCAACAACACACATCCTGAATAAATAAAATACTTTTGCTTTACAATAGAACTTAGAATTACAGAAGTGGATCAAGATGATGAAAAATTAGTCTACTTAAAGTTTTAGTAAGATCAAGAATCTCTAAAAAAATGTATTTTGTATAACTAAAATACTGATTATATCCTGAAAAAACTGAGTGACACCTTCAATCTTCAAAGGATCTAAGAACCATACTGAATGATGAAGCCACCGTAATATAATGTTCACACTATGTCCTTTTTAAAAAAATCCATTCATTGTATTCATGATAGAGTACATCTGTGTCAAAAGAGAGACAAGGAGAGAGAGAGAGAGAAAGAATCCTAAACAGGGTTCTGACAGGTCTGACTCACCCTCCCCACACTTCCAGCACCTCAAGACCCTGGGCATGTGTGCATGTGCTCAGCATATTTCCAAACCCATGGGGGTATCCTCAATCTACCCTATGGCTTCCAGCACTGAAGTCCACTTTGCCATTAGACACATCATCAGGCTGGGCCACACCATATCTTTTTTATAAGGTTACAACTGCAGCCTCAATCGCTGGTGTCAATTCTCTTCTTAGGTGAGAAGTAAACAGACAGAAGACACAGAACACTCATCCTTTAGAGGATGAGCTCTAAACCTAGACCCCATGCTTGTATCCTCTCTCATTGTTCCCCCTCTCCCCATGACATTGTCTCAGTTTGTTCTTTACCTCTATACTTGGTACTCTGGAACCAAAGGCCACTTTGTTGTCACCAGTCTTACAAGATTCCAGTTCCAAACTTCAGTACTGGAAGCAGGTACTACCACTGCCCCCTCAACTACTGTTGTCAGAATTCCCTGAAGATGGCCCCTCCAGTCTACAGCTCCATCATCTGCTGCAGGACACCACACCTCTGATGTTCTGGAAGCTGGTCCTCTCTCCTGTTGCCTTTGGAGAGACCTCTCTGAACGGTTCTGCTAGTACTACTGTGTTGCCATAATCAGTAATATTAACAGCCACCATTTACTGACATAGATTTCAATCCTTCTTTTAGCCTTTGAGAGATTTCGAGAGCAAGGGCAGCAGTTTTGCTTTATTTTCTTTTGTTCCATCTTCTCATGGCAGGGTTGAATGCTGAGTCTGACCCTGAATAGATCAATGAATTTACGGAGAACTGATCGTGTCTTAGGCACTATAGCACACATTCTACCCATTACAGCCAGATGACTGCACCGACTCCATAACTGAGGATATTGAGGCTCAGTAAATTCACAGCTAACAAGGTAGGCTAACAGACCACAGCAGTTAAATGGGTGAGCTAGGATTTAAAAGCCCATTTGTCTGGCCCCCAACCAGTTCACTCTCCATGATGCCACGATGTCTTGTCCCCTAGGCTGGTGGCTTCTGCTCTGGCTTGTGTTTCTGGTCATCACTGAATCTGAGTTATGACAAACTCACTCACTGTCTCTAAAAGAAAATACCTACAAAATTAAATTCTACTGAAAAAAAAATCTGTGTCCTTCCTCAGGGGCCTTGAGAAATAGTAAGCTGGTCAAATATATGCATCTGGACAAAGTTGTACTTTCAAAATAAAACTGAACTCTTAAATGCTTTGTCTTAACAACCTCAGCATTTTGTATTGATGATCTTCATTCACATTATTTTTATGGGCTTTCCTATTATGCCATCCATAAGAAAATACTCAGTCATCATATTAAGCTATATCTTACTTTTGTAAGAGTATAAACCTTGTTCTCTAGGGAATCAATAATAAATTTATATATCATCTTGGCTTCAAATGTAATTTTTAATGGATTTTTTTATCTAAAAGAGTTTTTACTTGCCAGTTTTTGTCATCCAAATGACCTACTGACACATGTATTGACTGTATTTCTATTTACTAGGACCCTAAAAACCATTATGAAAAACAGTCTGCAATAGAAAGCGATTGCAATTGTGATGATAAATAAATAGCCTATTGTTCTGAGGCGAAAACACTAGCTAATCTGGAACCATTTAATTTGAAGTTTATCTTTTCTAGTCCTTTCTGTAGACCAAATTGACCTTTTATATCATGTCTTTTTTTTTTTTTTACTAAAATTTACCTTTAATAACCTTATTTTTAAAGGCATGATCTAGTTCTTTTAAATTCATAGGCTGGAGAAAACGGGTGAAAGTAGAAGATAATATATGTGGAAGTATTGGAAATACATTTCTCTTTCACATATCTGATGACGAATTAATTTAAACAATGATGAGAAAAGAATCTAGGCCATAGAGATTTTTGCTAAAGACTGTGTGCACTCACTGGGGACACAGAGAGAGGCAGAGAGGGAAAAAGTGAAAAATCATTCCTCAAGATGGATGGCCATGCCGCAATCCCTTCTCCTCCATTCTCCTCTCGAGATTTTGGGCATACACGTGGGCACACCCAGCGTGCGTTTCAAGCCACTGGGTCTAAGACTCAAACTGCAGTTGATCATGTGTGGGTCCAGCGCCTTAATTACTATGCCACCTGCTGGTTCTAAAGAAGATGATTTTAATACGGTATTTTTAACTGAGAAATGCTGCTCGTTTTCTTTCACAACCAACATCCCAACTTACGTCCACAGGCTTGCCATCTGAAGCTCGTGCCACAATAACTGTCCTTCCACGAAAATCTATAGTGTCCTTTTCATCAGTCTGTCGGCTGGCAATTAATTTACAATCCATATAGAGTGCATTTTGTATTGATGATCTTCATTCACATTATTTTTATGGGCTTTCCTATTATGCCATCCATAAGAAAATACTCAGTCATCATATTAAGCTATATCTTACTTTTGTAAGAGTATAAACCTTGTTCTCTAGGGAATCAATAATAAATTTATATATCATCTTGGCTTCAAATGTAATTTTTAATGGATTTTTTATCTAAAAGAGTTTTTACTTGCCAGTTTTTGTCATCCAAATGACCTACTGACACATGTATTGACTGTATTTCTATTTACTAGGACCCTAAAAACCATTATGAAAAACAGTCTGCAATAGAAAGCGATTGCGATTGTGAGGATAAATAAATAGCCTATTGTTCTGAGGCGAAAACACTAGCTAATCTGGAACCATTTAATTTGAAGTTTATCTTTTCTAGTCCTCTCTGTAGACCAAATTGACCTTTTATATCATGTCTTTTTTTTTTTTTTACTAAAATTTACCTTTAATAACCTTATTTTTAAAGGCATGATCTAGTTCTTTTAAATTCATAGGCTGGAGAAAACGGGTGAAAGTAGAAGATAATATATGTGGAAGTATTGGAAATACATTTCTCTTTCACATATCTGATGACGAATTAATTTAAACAATGATGAGAAAAGAATCTAGGCCATAGAGATTTTTGCTAAAGACTGTGTGCACTCACTGGGGACACAGAGAGAGGCAGAGAGGGAAAAAGTGAAAAATCATTCCTCAAGATGGATGGCCATGCCGCAATCCCTTCTCCTCCATTCTCCTCTCGAGATTTTGGGCATACACGTGGGCACACCCAGCGTGCGTTTCAAGCCACTGGGTCTAAGACTCAAACTGCAGTTGATCATGTGTGGGTCCAGCGCCTTAATTACTATGCCACCTGCTGGTTCTAAAGAAGATGATTTTAATACGGTATTTTTAACTGAGAAATGCTGCTCGTTTTCTTTCACAACCAACATCCCAACTTACGTCCACAGGCTTGCCATCTGAAGCTCGTGCCACAATAACTGTCCTTCCACGAAAATCTATAGTGTCCTTTTCATCAGTCTGTCGGCTGGCAATTAATTTACAATCCATATAGAGTGAAATGAGCCGAGACTGTATCCCAATGCCAAGTTTATGCCACTGACGATCAAACAAAGGACGGAGTTCTCGATTTTTAAAAACGTAGTTCAACACATCTCCCTCGGCAACTTGGAACATAAATTCCACCACCTTCTTTCCTCCATCTACTACTATAGAAACCTGCGAAAGTGAGAATCATCTTTAATTGTTTTAAAAATCAATGTTCAAGATTGTTAAAGCACACAAATAAAAGCTCAAGATGCATGTTAGTACAACTGGAGTGCTTAAAATGTTTTAGATGACACCTGTGTGCTCCGAGTTTGTGACATAAAAGAACAAACACCTAGCTACAAAAACAGTTTAGACATGGAGAATTCTGGTGAATGTGATATGCTCTTACTTATGAGAACATGTAAGTGTGTGTGTTTGTATGTGTGTATACATATATATACATATATATATATAATTTTACATAGCTTATAGTTTTATTATAAATGTAAAACTTTATCATTGTAAATATGAAATATATAACTTTAACATATGTCTGTATAAGTGATGTAATACATAGTGTAAATTTTTCTCCATACCTACATATCTTATTGTTGTTCTGTATGAGGAATTCAAGATAACTAATTTAAGATGACTTAAATTCTTCAGTCTCTTATCATTTGCATGGTACAGAGATAATACATTTTAGAGAGGACATACACTTTCAGTTCAATTCATCTCCTTATTATAAAATTGTGACTGTATTAACAGAGTAAAAATCAGTGAAAATTAAAAAAACATTTCCATGGACATGCATAGAAGGAAATGCAAGTGTGTGGTGCTCACCAGTAATTCCGAGGTCCATTTCCCTCCCCTCGAGTACCTGTGGCCCCCTCTTTCAACTCACATGCCCCTCTTCCACCAGCTTCCCTAGATCCCTGCTGTCCCCAGCCCCCAGTCTGGCTGAGCAGGCCTTTTGGTGTTCTCAGAGTGTACGCCCCACACTGACCTTATCTCTGGCCTACACGGGTCCCACTGTGTTATAATTCTGATGTGCTGTGTTCTCTGACATGGCATCCCCATTAAACGTTATGTTCCCTGAGAATAAGAATGCTGTTTTTTAAATCCTTATCCCCGTGACCACCTAGCAACAGCATTTATTCCATGTATTGTTTTATTATGTGTCACTTCTTGACTCATTCACCATGAAACAAAGAGCTATTTAAAAATCATACACCATATCATAGATGATAGAGGTGAAGAAGTTGCTAGTTTGGTAGAATTAGTCAATAAAGCAGCAGTGAAGACAGAGTAGCTCAAGTGCCTTTAGACAAAATACGATTTTAGTAATAAAAGATAAACAAAAACTAAGCCCTTTTATCCACCAGACTCTCACATAGATCTCAGCAACTAGGAGAATACTTGCAACTCTCTGTGGGTGAGTCATCTCAAATACAACATATTTGAATATCGGATATACTCCCTAAGTGGTGCACACACAGTGTAAAGACTCACTTGGATTAATCACACAAAGGAGAAGCGATAAGCACAACTCTTGTGGTTCTTACCTGTGGCATATTCTGCTGGTTTAAAACCTGCCATAAAAACCACCGTTCCTTCTTGGTGCTTCTTCGTACACGAAACATGGCTGCCACAGAGAACTCTTCAGGAAGGCCTTTGGGAAATATCTTACTGTGGGAGGAAAACAATGAACTACTGTGGGGTAGCCAAATATGGCAAGGGAAGAAACTTAGGTATGAAGTTCTCTGTAACACAGTATCTCAGCCACATTTTTCTCAGTGAGTTCATAAACCATTATGGTTTATAGTAGCCCACATAATGGAAATAAGAAAGCAGCTGTGCCTACATTACCTGCATAATTTTTATTCTCATTCTCTGCCTTTCTTAATTTTCTAATATGATTTTAAAGCACGGGTATGTAAAGACAAGTATAGGTTACAGTGTTCTGTTGTCGTATTCCGTAATTCGACAAGGTGTTCAGATCAAGGAAAATCTCTGAATTCATTACAGCCTCAGGAACAGTAGAGATTTATCAAGGAAATAAATAATGCGCCTGGAATTCATTGGTAGCGAGAGGTACAGAAAATTTCAAAGAATACTGATAATAAGTAAGCATATACTTTCCAAAGATGTTTTATCATATTAAACTCTAGCAGATAAGTTCAAAATACTGATTTCCTAGTAGTAATAATAGACTGGTACTAAATATACTTTGTAGGACAAGTTGCGACAGAAGCATGCTTTCTGGATAGTGGAGTGTCCAAATATCCGTCAATCTCAATCTTGTTTCAAAAATAATGGTCTCACTGGAGCCATGGAGAAACTTGGATAAAATAATCACAATGAACATATCTTAAATTCAACTCTCATTGAAAACAAGGAGAAAAACATTCTACCAAACTGATCTTTAAATTTATTCACAATTGTGTGTGAAAAGTCTGCAAGGCAGATATCTTGCTTTTCTTTTTTTCTTTTTAAAAGTCATGTAAAATAGGGACCAGCAGTTGGTGTAATGGCTATGTTGCTGGACTCCCATGTAGTCTACTGCAGTTTGAGCAGGACCCAGTGGCTTAAAACTCACTCCAGGTGTGTATGTGTGCGTGCGTGCCCAAGATCCCAAGAGGAGAATGGAGGAGAAGGGATTGTGGCGTGGCCACCCCCCTGGGGGGTGATTTCTTGCTTTCTGTCTCTCTGTCTCTCTGTCTTTCTGGTGCTCAAAAAAAAAAAAAAAAGTCATGTAAAATAGTAGGTAAGAATCCTTTTAAAGATGAGCATAGCCAAAAGTTTATGTATATATATATGTGTGTGTGTGTGTGTATATATATATATACTTATAATAATATTTTATTATATATATATTTATACACACACACACACACACACACATAATAAAACCATACATGTAGGTAGCAACTACTAACTTCAAATATCATAGTCAACCCGACTGAAATTGACAACCAACTAACTAAAATTGACAACCAAACTGTCAAAGAGAATGCTGAAATTTTATTTTAACTCTGGGATAAAGACAAATCTACATGTTGTAGAGAAATCGAGAAAATTTATGAGAAGCTGTGGTAGCTTACAGTTCTTTCTAAGTAGGTTAAACAGAACACACTTCACACACACCATACACATTTATACACACACACACACACACACACACACACACACACACATTTGCAGTATATAATTATCTCCTTATAATTTTCTTTACTTTCTGGGATATGTCCTTGATATATTTTCTAATACCTATATTTGACATCAATTTGTTATATATATATTATATATATATATATTTTATTTCCAAGATTTCCTTTTCTTCTCTTTTCCAAATATACTGAAAACAGTATGTTTTTAAAATCTCATTGACAATATCAATTACATGGATGTTTAATATTTTTCTTTGCATCCTCAGACATCTCTATCTCTTCCAGGTTTGTCTTCCTCGTTTTGGCAGTTTGGCCTCTCTCTTCCATGTTGGGGCTTACTTTAATTTCACGTGATTTTTGGCAGTCTATTCTTATCTAAGGATGAAGCACTGAAACTAACCATAAAGCACATATACTGATGAACAACCTTCACAGAATAGCATGATCAGCTGGTGGATTTCACTGAGAGTTTCTCACATATCAATAAACCACAATGATTTCTCTAGAGATATTCAGTTTACCCAAAGAAGAATTTCTATTTCCCACTGGGGCCAACAATAAGCACCTGCTACAGGCATTCTAGACAGGTTGGATACACGGGAGCCCCACGGTTCACTAGAAAATTTTACTTCAGGCTTCTGTTTTCAGGGCAGTGCCTCATTACTGTCCTTGCTTTCCTGCTTACCCCATACGGAGGCTCTCTGTCTTAATTTGTCTAGATCATAATCCTCCCACTTACTCTTAACCTACGGGCCTCGGTCTCACTACACGTAAACATCCCCCACACACCCTTCCCTTACCAGATTCTGCACAGCCTGGTTCTTTCTAATGAGGGTTCTCTGAGGACTCTGGTGAGGCAAGCTGGCCCACTGTCACCCTGCAGTAGTAGACCCTTCTTCCTGTCTGTTAAATCTGTTGCCAGTCTTGTGACTACTTTGTGTCTCCTAGAAGGATTGCAATCTTTCTGTGTAGTTTCATATTCCTTGGTACAGACATTTTTGCATTTTAGGGAGGGAAATCTCTTTCTAACTCTTTCATCTCTTCCTCTGCAGTGGTCCCTTTTCTTGGTTTTCAAATACACACGTTTTTCCTTAATGTAAAACAAACAAAACTTCCTCCATCTTATTAAAACATTGTTGCCATCACATCCATCTACCACGATTTTTTAAATGAATACTTTGAATATCTATATCTTCACCATCCACTCTCTCCTTAACCCTACTGCATTCTAAAAGCATTCCCAATCAGATAATCCACTGGCCTCTTCTCAGTCCTCCTCAATCTTCTTGCAGGTTTTAACACTGCAGGTCTCCTTTCTTCAGTTATAAACTGAGAGTCACAATCACAATGGTTTTATGTCCCAGTCAGGAAGTGGAATACAAGTTCCCTGAGTTTCTTTGTCTATCCTATTTCCTTTTCATCTGCAGCATCTAAAACAATGCATGTACAAGATAGGTACTTGAGAAATATTAAATGAATCAATAAATGAATGAATAGAGTTTAGAGAAAAGTATTTTTTTAAATAAAAACACATGACCCTATCTAGTGTGTGTGTGTGTGTGTTTCCATCTTGGACAGAATATGCATGTACGAAATGTTCATTTTCCTCTTAGCACTTCAATTAAGAAAAACGAATAGAGTGAGTTAATAACAGCAACTGACGCTCATCCTTGTGTAGAGGACACATGTGTGGACTGTGGGAAACTGAGAGCCCAGCCCATCTACAGGGGGCAGCTGCTGTTTAGTTCCAGCCAACTGTTAGCATATGGGAATGTGGGTATAGTGTTGCCAGATCATCCTATTTTTTAAGAGAAGCCAAAAATCTAGATTTTATCTGAAAAGTTTAGAATTTAAAATTTTGGCTATTAATTTGGTTTTCACAAACACTGTCAAGGTCATGACTGAGCAAGCCAAACAAAAACAATGATTCTTAGTTGGCAACCTTGAATTTACACAAATATTTTCTGAAGACCCACTGTATGCAGAGCACTATGAGACTTACGAGATGAAAATATAAGATCTTTCTTGTTTCTTATAACTGGTTGGGAGAGGAAAAACATCTAAAAGTAATATGAAGAAGTGATATGAAGAGTAGGTAAATATGGAGCATGGCCAAAGGTTGTAAACAGAACCCAGTGTAAGGAATAGGATTGCTTTTCCTGTCCTGTAACAGCAGGAGAGTAGATGTTAGAATATCCTACACAGGTTGAGAAAAGAGTAGCAGCTACATAAAGAGAGATGAGGTGGAGATGCTTGAAAAAATCTCATCTGAAAGTCATGGGCACTAAGTGGATGCAAACTCAATCCTTAAGCTTCCATCTACTTCATACTTTTGGATCTCCTGCTGTGGCTGTTATTCACCATTTCCACCAAAATGCAAATCTTCCAACCACTTCTCTCTACATGTCCTTACTTCATTGCTGTGACCTCTTTAGACATGATGTTCAAGTCTGCAAATTCCAGACATAACATATGCACTAGATCTCAGGCCCTTATTTCAATGCGCCATGAACTCTGCGAACAGGACACAGCCTCTCCGCCTGCAGAGGTCATGGTCTGGTAGAAGAGTCAACGCTGCAGTAACAGAACTCATAGAGATTGTCTGAAAAGCACCTCTACTATATGTGCTCAAAGAGACCCTCTCTATTTTCCCTTCTCTGAGTGGTACCTCTCCCATGTCGCTTGTAACGATGAAAATACCATTTTATTACTCATGCAAACTGGAAACATTGGAGTCATTCTTGATTGCTTCTTGGCTCTGGATACCACATTTAATCAGCTATCAGCTTCTCTAAACTTCAGTTTGATGTCTTGGCCTGTATAATATGCCTGATTGGTTCTCCCATAACTACCACTTTGGTTCTGACTACATTGAACTCTCCTCTGAACAGCCACATTCACATTCCCATGGATTCTCTTGCCTCTGTACTCTGTCCCTTTAGTTCATTCTAAATTACTCAACAGAATATTTCATCAACAGAGTTCTGCAAACACTTCCTCTTTGCTGCAGGGTCTTTTTACTACCAACTCCTTTGTCTGGCATGCAAGGTATTCAGAGTTCCAATCTCAGACTCCATATCCAACTTTATTTCCAGCTACTCCCTAGCAAGTTTTAAGAGTGTAGTAAAAGCGAATACCTGTTTTAATTTCCTTCCATTCTGTTTTTTTTCCTCTTTTTTTCTTTTCCTTAAAAACACTGTTTTCTCCTCCAGAGAAAACTACTCCTCAATCCTACCCGACCCCATCTATAAGTTCAAATCTTACCTATATTCCCAGTACTCAGTGTAAAGCCATATCCTCTATTAAGTTTTTTCCATTACTCTCATCAGAGACAACCTGCCCATCTTTTCATTCTAGTGCGCCCAGGCTCATAGAGTTTATGGTGTACTGAAATAAGAGCCTGAGTTCTAGTGCCTATGTTAAATCTGGAGTTGGCAGACTTTAGCATCATGTCTAAAGAGGTCACAACAATGAAGTAAGAACGCGCAGACAGAAGAGGTTGGACGAGAACGGCCATGG